ATACCAATGAGGATTAATCATTCTATGTTGAAGCTAGCTGAGATGTATATTGAGAAAGTTGTGAAGTTGTATGAGATATCGTTGAATATTGTGTCAGATGGAAATCTGAGATTTACATCGAGATTTTGGGATAGTTTGCAGACGCTTTGGGTACCATGTTGAAGTTGAACTCCGCCTATCATCTGCGGACGGATGGACAGACAGAGAGAACTATCCAGTCCTTAGAGGATTTGTTGAGAGCTTGTGTGTTGGATCAAGGTGGAACGGGGATAGTCATTTGTCGTTGGTTGAGTTTACCTACAATAACAGTTATCATTCTAGTATCGGAATGGCACCGTATGAGGATTTGTATAGTAGGAGGTGTAGGACTCCTTTGTGTTGATATGAGTCAGGCGAGAGTGTTGCACTCGGATCTGAGATTGCGTAAGAGACGACTGAAAAGATCAAGAGGATCCAAGGAAAAGATGAATATTTCGCAGGTTCGTCAGAAGAGTTACGATGATAAGAAGAGGAAAGCACTTGAATTTCAAGGGGGAGATCGTGTGTTTTGAGAGTTACGCCGGTAACTTGTGTTGGTCGAGCTTTGAAGTCTCGGAAGCTTACACATTGTTTTGTTGGTCTGTATCAGAGTGGCGCAGCGGAAGCGTGGGAGAAGTAGCATGTTAGACTGTTTTACCGTTGTCGCTTGTTAATTTGCATGATGTGTTTCATGTGTCTCCGTTGAGGAAGTACATTCCAAATCCGTCGCATGTGATTCAGATGGATGATGTACAAGTGAGATATGATTTGACTGTTGAGACATTGCTAGTTCGGATTGATGAACGAGAAGCAACTTCGAGGTAAAGAGATTGCATTGGTAAAGGTAGTTTTGGGAGAACCAGTTGGAGAAAGTTGGACTTGGGGGCTGAGGATCAGATGAGGGAGTCGTATCTGACTCTGTTTCCTTGAGGTGATTTTCGAGAGTGAAAATTCTTTTAAGTGGGGGAGAGTTGTAACACCCCAAATTTAATTATAATATTTTAATTTATTTATTTAATTGAGAATATTCGTATTTTTGTGGTTTTCGGTGGTTTTGTGGATTATTGAGAATTATGCATTTTTGAGTTATTTATTTAATTAATAGTATACAATATGGAAATATTAGTATTATTATTGATTAAAATGAATATAAGTGAAATAAGGGTAAATTGGACATATAAGAGGAGTTAGTGAGGGTGTTATGGGAAAAGCCCAAATTGTGAGGCTCAAGACTAGGTTTGACAAAATAGAACTCTGAAGGGAATTAGGATTCATTTTGTGAACCGTGAAAAATATTGTGGCCAGAGAGCTTTGAGGAGAAGATTGGAGGCAGAAGATTCCCGACGATAATCGTGAATGCTTTGAATCGAGTAAGGTATGAGGAGTATAACTTTTCATGATTTTTCATGTGTAACTTTCGATGTAATTATAGTTGATTTACGGGTTTAAGGGTTTTATGGAGAATTACGAGAAAAAGGGATTTTGGCATTCGTGGCCTAAATCTATTATGGAGATTGTAACCGTAGAGATTTTGAGGGTAGAGATGAGAAATTATGATCTTTGGCCTTCGTGGCCTAAACCGATTATAGGTTAATCTAACTGTGGTTCATATGAGAAAGGGAAACCTGAGGCCTTCGTGGCCAAAACCTTGAATTGTTATATGACTGACCCTGTAGGAATAGGAATATTTGAATGTGAGTAACTCTAATGCCTTAGGGTGTAATTGAAGGAAAATTGTGATTTAGGGCTGAATATGCTACGTGATTGGCCTAGTAAACCGTAGGTTTTGTGCCTTTATCGCCGTAAGACCTTAGGGATGATTTAGAGATGTTTTGGGGGCATTGGGGAAGTGAATCGTGTGGACTTTTGGGTTGATTTAGGTTCTGGAGCGTAACAGCGTTTTGCTGTCCGTCACGACTGTTCATGTTTTCGGTCGAAATTGTTTTGGACGTAACTTTTGATCCGTCAGTACGTTTTGCCCCCTGTTCGAAGCGTTGGAAAGCTAATGAATAGAGCTATAACATAATATAGATAAGGGAATTGGTTTCTCAATATTTTTATATCTAATTATGTTTGATAAGTCAATTGTGTATATGTTCTATTAATGAATCATGTTCTGGTTCAGTGATGTCTTGATGTTTTGATGCTGCGATTTTCCTGATGAATTACCATGAGGGTAACTGTGATAATATGATGAATTAACATGAGTAGGACTGTAAAGTTTATGTGATTAATAGGCGATAGTATGAAAATTACCGCGAGTATAATTATGAATTAATAGGTGATACTATGTGATAATATGTGATAATATGATGAATTAATATGAGTATGACTGTGAGCGCTACGTGATTCCTAAATAATTATATGATGATTTTATATGATGTATGATGATGATTATTATGATGAATTGTGTTGACATGATGTATGATGATGGTTATTATGATGAGTTATGATGACATGACGTATGATGATGATTATGATGATGAGCTATGACGTTTGATGATGATGAATATGATGAGCTATGACGTTTGATGATGATGAATGGTGATGCACCTATGATGTTATTATGAGGAAGATTTGTGACGTGTGCATCATGCATTCATGTGCATCCGAACTTTGATTCAGGACCTCAATTACTTTGGCTTCAATCCCACTGTGCGGATGTGAAGTATTTTGATGTCCTCCGGTTCTCTAGTAGAATCGATCCTATTTATGGGGATCTATGGAGGGTTGATGGCCCAGTGTCCATCGCGCGGTGATGATTGGTACCACATGAATTGAGTCTTGTTGCATTTTGCATTTCTGAGTCTTTTTGTATGAATTATGATGTTGTGGCCTTCGAGGCATATCGATGAACATGAAGGTTGAATATGATTGTGACGCCGTTTATATGTTGATTTTTATACATTGATTATTATGAATTGTTTTACTCACCCTGTCTGTTTGAATGTTACCTCCACGTGGGTAACGTGCAGATGACCAGGTTTAGCCGTGGATGCCGTCGAGGAGTATTTTTGAAGTTTTGAGTTTTTAGCCTTTTGGTTAGTTTAGAGGATCTTGCTCTGATATGTAACATCGGGTTGGGTTCTTTTGAGTTAAACTATATACCGTTGAGTTATTTTGCTTACCTTCCCGTATGAGGAAAATCTTGAGTTATGTTTTGAGTTCCGCTGCTTTGTACAATTTGATGTATTTTAAAAAAAAAACCCATTGTATACGGAGCATTGACTTATTTTGAGACATCGAGAAATGTACGCCCTTTTTGGTGGCTTTTTATGAAATTTAATAATTTACTTTGATATCTGTTTTATTTTGCCTTAATAATTGTGGGATAGAAAAGGGTGTTACAATAATCGACATACATTCTCCATTTTCCTGAAGTTTTCTTGACTAGTACTACATTGAATATCCATTTAGCGTATTTCACTTCGGATATGAAATTAACATCTAATAGGCCTTGGAATGTCTTTGCTGCCGCCTCTGCCATCTAGGGAGACTTTCGCTTTCTCTTTTATGAAGCATACCGGGATCAACATTCAACTGGTGACATGTCATGCTACGATCTATTCCTGGCATCTTGTGAGGAGAGATGGTGAAGAAATCGCCATTGGCTCTCTAACATCCTATTAATCCTTCTTTTACCACAATAGGCACTCTGACTCATATCCTTACTAACCTCATCGGTTATCGTCTAATTGGATGGTCTCAAAGTCTCCATATATAAATAGTTTTAGGATCCTCGCTCTGATCACATTTCAGAGTCCTAACTTGTCTCCCAATGGGATATCTTTTTCGCAGGCTTTGAGGTCGGCGACATCCACTTCTCTACCAACTTCCTCGGTTCTTCCTTTAAATATGATGATTCTTCCTGTATTTGGCGAGCTCTGTAAAGGTCAGCTTTGATTACCACATGTTGGCCAAAATCATTGTGGAACTTTAAATTCAAGTGCACGGGGAAAGTCGTAGCGTCTAGGGCCTCCATGACTGATCAGTCGAAGATCCCATTATAGATGTTTTCAGATGGAATTATGAAGAAACAAACATCCAATGTTCTCTTATTGCCACTTTCCCATGGAGATTGGCAAGTACACTTGTCCGCAAGGAAGAGTAGAAGAATCATTGAATGCTAGGAAGGTCTACCCTTCACAAGGTCTTAGATCTTTAATCCTCGAGTCAGTTTTAATGAGAATTTTGAAGTAGATCACATTGCATAAACTTCCATAATCTAGAAGAATCCCTAAGACCGGATGAATAATGATGGTGGTGGCAACTATGAGTGGAAAAGTAGCATTCAGAATCCCATTTACCTTCTCATGATCTTGAAAACCCATGATTGACCTATCTTCACCTTGCCCCTTAACCCAAGATTGACCTATCTTCACCTTGCCAAGGTAGACTCACCAAATCCTAATGGAGGAGGCTTTGTTTGTCTAAACGGAATGGCAAAAATCAACGAACAATTTGTGCGGGAGGATTTCGAAAGATCTTCTAGAAGGATCTCTTAAGGGAGAATTTTGCCGCCTATTATGGTCCTCTCTGGTTCAAGGTTTGTCTCTTCAATTACGCGTAGAAGATACACGGTTTATACAAAAATATATATATTATTTCCATCTCAACTCTGAATTTTGGCTCATTTAAAAAGAAAATATTTTGTCAAAATAAATAAAAGGCTTCCTCCTCAACTCTGAATTTGGCTCATTTAAAATGAGACAGAACTCGAGTTATTTCAACAAAATGTAACTGCAACCAGCAATATCAAAATGAAAGAAAGCTAACGCTGTATACCAAATGTCACTGCAACCAGCAACAGCAATATCAAAATGAAAGAAAGCTAACTGTACCATTACACTCATAACCGATAATTTGTGATGGCAATTATGTCTCTATGGTTTCTATAGGGAACTATAAAAAAATTGAAATCAACTAGCAAAACTTATCATACAATTAACTAGGGGTGTTCAATTCATGAATTCAATAACTAGCTAACCATAATTGTCTACAATTTTAAGACCCCAATTCATATCCTCACAATGTCTTACATGTGGAACAAGTGCACCTGTATCAGCTCCTCTCTTTGCCTTACAATCATAGAAAGGTGGTGCGTGAAAACAAGGCTCCATCGATATCGCACGTCGACAAGGAGGATCAGGAGCTGTCTCATTCTCAGGTTTGTATAGTATCCAAGGTTTCAAACCTCCAAGCCCCTGTGCCACGTAGCCGAAAGTAGACCAGGAGCTAGTCACCAACACGTTGGTTAAACTCAATAAATATATTTCTGCCCAAGCTTTTTGGTTGTGTATTTGCTTCTCAGTTTGCTGATATCCCTCATGGCTTGGTTGGTGTACACTGATAACTTCTCCGGTCAGCGTTGGATATTCCCAATACATGTCTCTTATTTTTTCAAAATAGCCAGAGCTTAAGGATGTCATTAGTACCGCTTTCGACTTTGATCTTCCGAACAAACCAGTAATACCATGCTTCTTGTCAACATCAGGCAAGAGATTTTCCTTCAAAGTACATGCTAGGATTTGATCCAATACATATTGAAATGGACCGGGTCTAGTGTCGAAAACCCTAATCTGGATGCCGACTCTTTGATCAACATTAGCTAAATAAGATTCATAGTATCTAGTAACAAAACCCCAAACTTTGTTTGTAGGGTGGAACAAATACCTGCCTATGAAATGGAAAACTTTCTCCTTGTTTGGAAAGAGATTACTGAGCTCCTGATCGAAAGACGACATCAAGAATAGCGATGGAATAAAGTAATTATCAGTTTTCATCAATAACCAAGGTACTTTCTGCAAAAATTTCTGTTCTTCATCGCAGAAGAAAAGCTTATCCTCATCATTGTAATCATGTACCAAATGAAGGTAGACAGAAGAAGGCACTTTCGAATTTGTGACTGATTTATCTTTCAGCATTTTTCCATGACATTGATCAGATTTCTGATTGAAACCATGAAATTGACCGTTGAGAGGGAAATCAGGAGGGAGAAACCATGAAACATCTGGAATCGGTTCACAGAAGAGATCAGCCATATCAACTCCAGGATCAACCAAAAGAACACGGTTTGTGAGGAGAGCATAAAGAAATGCAGAAGCCAAGGTCAATATCCTGTTCCCTAAACCACTAAATGAAATCCAAACCACATATTTACAATCCGGGGACTCGCTTAAATGACCTGAACTGAGATCTTTCACCGTTTTATTGTAGGATTCAGTATAAGGTCCGCACTTTTTGTGGAGAGCTTCGTATTTTCTTAATCTGGAAATGAGGTAAGAGGATGGATTCCCTGATAATCCTTTAATGGAATGATACCTGCTGAGACATGATCCATCATCAAATCCAGCTGCTAGAAGTCCACTTAGTAGTTTATCTTTTATGAACTTAACAGAATCAGAGGCATCACTGTTCAAACCTAAGAACCAAAGAATGTGAAATTCCATCATTATTAGACCAAAAAATATACATATTAAGAAAATCAGTTCATTCATAAACAGAAAGTAAAAATTAAAAGCAAAATGTAAAGAGCTTATTAAAGCTTATTCGGACTTTCTATGACATAAACATAGTTTTTCAGCTTATTTTCAACAAGTTTTTTAGGATAACTTACGGAAACAACTTACAACTTGTATGAAAATTGTTAAATCACATTCCTACTTTGACTGTAAAATAGTTTACATGTAAGCGCTTATACAACAAACAAAGTACTAACTATTTACCAAAAATGCTAGCAAGGAAGAGAACCAAATGCCAAAATTGAAAACTTCATGAAAACCTAAACTAGCCATTTGTTATGTAAGTTTTCGCTTTTATAGCTTCTTGTTATAATCAATAGAATACCTAATGTCCAGTCTTGTTTGTAATGTCCAATAGTTTATGCAATGCAAACATATTATGTGAAAGAAAACTAAGAGAAAACCAATAAATGCATAAAATAGAAAGGGAATATAAGAACATGTGAACAAGTAGTAACCAAAAACTAACATCCTAATTTAGTACTCAACAATTCAGGTATCCAAAAAGCCAGTCTACACAGTCATATACATGCTCCATCTCTTTTGTCTATTTTCTAAGAAAAAATTTGTTGTTATTTCAAAATTCAAGGTTCTATTTTCTATGTTTTCAATTACATACTTAACTATTTATCAAACTGAAAATTTGTTGCAATAGAAAGATGAAATATAAAGGGTATAATAAAAGAAGACTAAGGATATCAATTTTCATCAAAAAGTAACTAAATTGATTTATTACCTAGGTCAGTGTAAAAAACCTAGTTGGACTAAACTGTTAATGGATTAAGTTAAGATCTATAAAGTACGGATAAAGACACAAACACACAATGACACGTTGACATCGGTAATAATTTGAAAAAATGAATAAATTGAACATAATCATAAGTATCGGTGTCTGACACTCACACGGACACAAACACTTTTTTTCCAGAGGTGTTGGTGTTACATAGGTTAAGATCAGATGGACCGGAAAAATCTAAGTTCTATTTGTCATTGGAATTATCTTGGACAAGACTATTGCTTACAGAATCAACTTTCTCCACTCCACATTTCTTTAAAACTACACAAGGAAGTATATATCCGAATAGCATAATTTGTGCACTTCTAGACAGCACAAAAGTGATATGCGTTTTTTTCTAGTGTTATCGAATATCGGCCATGACAGATATCTGTGGCGGTTTTTGGACTCCCCGCAACTGTAAATATCAGCCGATATTGCAGTCTTTTCCGCCATAATCCACTATGACGCTGCCGCAGAGCAGCCGGTATGGCAATGTTCCGGGCCGTCCACAAGGTCCGAGAGAGAAGACCCAGTAATGAATGCAGCAAAACGTTAAACGCAGAACAAGTGGTCTCTCTTTCCCCACTGTAGGCAGTCCCTCGCGCGAGTAGCCTACTAACAATCCAGATCAATCTGACGACCGGCCGCAATCCAAGTCTAGCCTCACACGTTCAGTTGCCAACCACTTCTATTTAAAGAGGGAAGAGCGCCATTTCTCAGATATTCAAATCATTTCTCATTCAAACACCACTTTTCACTCTCATAATGACTTGAGCATTTGAGCGCTTACATTGCAAGTCAACCCCCTTTCCACCTCATCAAAAATCCATAACCACCGCAGCAAGCTCTGCATTATCACTCTCCGACCAACTCTAGTTCCACTACAAAACAAGCATGATTTTGACTCTTCACCATGGACCACCATCTGACATAGACAACACAGGTTTTGGGTGAAAAAATGCATCCCTTTACACATCTCTAACTTGAGATTACTAGGACCAAAGGGAGGATCAAGAGTCTTCAATACATCAACAACACAAAAACCTTACAATCTAGCAAGGTTAAAAGTGTGAATCAAATTGAAAGGAACATTACATAAATTTAAACAGAAACACAAATAAAAAATACTAACCTAACAACTAATATCAATCCAACCAAAATCAAATGAAATACAATAGAATGAACAGCAATCAGACCATGTAAACCAATAGTAACCGAAAATCAACATCTTAACTAATTAAATTAAATCACAATTTAAATAAATAAATAAAGTTACATAAGATCTAATTGAAATGTGCATTACATGAACTAAGAGTAAACCACAAAAAAGAAAATAAAAGAACCTTGTTGTTGAATAGTACTAGTAGTACTAGTAGATGTTGTTGACGGAGAATACGGAAGAATGAAGGAGAGAGAGAAGAGGGAGAGAGTAATGAGAAAGAGAGAAGCGAATAAGGGCATGGAAGTGGCAACGGAACATTTTCGGTTGGAAATTGAAGATGAACGAGTGTGCGAATCCGGTAGAAGTTCTTGGTCGTCGTGATTCCTACTATGAATTCTCTTCATGTTGGTCGTTGGATGAATCGCTTCTTGCATTTGATGATTGAACCAATCACGGTCTTACTGCAGCAGCAGCAGCATCACTGCATCTGATGATGATGGATTCCTTGAATTTAGATCCGTTGATTGATGGGGAAAACGCAATTAACGGCACATACTTGTAAAATAATAGGAAAGTTTTAGTGAATAGTAAATACTGCACAGTTCTTTTTTTATCTCTCAACATTATGTACAGAATATTGTTTATTATTTTTCTTAACCCCAATATCTTTATTTATTAACTTTTACGATTTTTCAATTTTTTTTTTACTATTTCACTAATTATAATAAATAAAATAATAAATAAAGATATTTTAATAAAAAAACTAATTTATCACTAAAACAATTCTATCATTAAAATTAATATATTTAAATTTTCTTAAGATCAAATAAGACAAAAGAAAAGGAGTCGTAGTTAATGTTTTTTTTATAGACAATCATAAGCCATTTTTATACCACAAATCAATTCATCAAAAAAGTACGTCCATTTTTTTAATAAAGAAATATATTCCAATTTCAATGCCCACTCATCAATGTAAATTCCATATATTTTGATGGGTTTTAATATATATTTTCGGTCAGAATTATAAATAAAAAATAATTATTTTTATATTGATGAAGAAAGTTACTTTAAGTATTGTTGATTATTGTTTTGGATTGGCCCCTAATTGATCGGGGAGGCTCAGCCCAATGCTACTTGGGAAAGCCCAAGCAGTCTCATATCACGTACGTCGAGCATAAGGATTCTCCGTCGAGCAGACGCTACCTTATGCGGGCAGAACCTTCCATAGTCGGACAGAACAACGTGTCCTCCACACGTTCTCCACGTGCTCCCCTCCGCAGGGACACACCATTAGACAACTACCCACCTCCGAAAGAGCAGGTCAGCCCACCTTCCGGAGATCACGGGCCAGTTGACCTAGGGCGAAGACCACGTCCCAGTCTTCACTGCGCCACGTAAGCCCTAGCAGTCACTTGGGCTGGCCCTGGCCATCCAGCCCAACTCAAATGACTGTTGACCCTGCGCTGGGGTCTCTCTATAAATATCTTCTTTCACAAAAGGATCAGGTATTCAATTCTATTCTCTACACCTTCTCTCTGTATTTGCTTCACTCTGGTCCTTTCTCATTTTGGCATCGGAGTGTCTTGCAGGTACACCCCATCCTCCTCCTAACCACCGGTGAACAGGCAGTAGCTCAAAGATGCGTGGCGGTCCAGTGATTCTCTTCTGATCAGGTCAGATCAGTGGCGCGACTGTGGGGACATAAATTTCCCCGTTCCTCCGAGCAAAGGACCAAAGTTTCACCTCTCAACACTTCAGAATCATGACTAGCCTACGCCACGAGGACGCTGTTCACAACTCCTCCATCGTCCCCACCACCAACGGCGACGGTTACATAGGGACTTCTCTACTCCGTGAGACCGACATCAGGGACGGCCAGACTGCCCCCTTCCCCCGAGGGCACACCGCACCACGAGGTCCCTCGCGCAAAAAACCCGACAGTGTTCCAGCTCATCCCCACTCCGGCTGGCGCGGACCCGACGATGGTCGCCCTCTTTGCGGCCATCGACCAGACGAATCAGATGATGTTCCAACAGAATCAACGCATTGGCGCGCTCGAGGGTCTGTCCCGCTCCCCTCCGCAGGAAGAGCAGTACGGGAACTCGAGGAGTCCATCACCTCGTCCACGAGGTCGCCGACTATAGCTGGAGAGACCCCAACCCGTTGTCTCAAAGAAGCGGGCAAGGTCGCCGATCAGGAAAGAGAGGCGAGTTCAGGAGCCGAGGACAACGAGGGCGGAACCCCCGGTCAGACAACCGAGGGTACGAAATCAACCCCCTCCTCGACACGGGCATTCGCCTCCTCCGTCCCCGATTCTCAACGTCGATGACGACTACAGGACCCCATTGTCTCGGGAGATCATGGCAACTCCCATCCCCCATGGGATGGAAAAACCACCTGTGCTCTCAACGTACGACGGCACCTCGGACCCGGACGATCACCTGGAAGATATCGAGGCTATGCTCGATTACCGCAACGTCCGAGGAGCCATCAAATGCAGGCTCTTCCCGACGACCCTGCAGAAAGGCGCCATGACATGGTACAAGAGCTTGAAGCCGGAGTCCGTCACGTCGTGGAGGGTCCTGAAGGACCCTTTTTCACGACACTTCACGGCGTCCAGGCGCCACCCGAAGATAGAAGTCGCGCTAGGCGCGATCATTCAGGCCCCCGACGAGCCCCTCAGGAACTACATCGAGAGGTTGACAAGGGAGGCAGTGTAGGTGACGACTTCAGACGAGATGAAGCGTTACCTAATGGAGCAAGGCCTGCGTCGGGACTCCAAATTCTACGAGGCCGTGGCCATCCATCGGCCAGACTCCCTCCAAGATTTCCTCGACCAGGCTCGCCATTATATCCGGTTCGAAGAAACACAGTTCGCTAACTCAGCCCGTGACACCAGGGACAGAGAGACCCCCCGCAGATCCCGAGACGACGGAGCCTCGAGCCACCGGCGCGGGGGAGACCGACGGCGAGATGACCGTCCACGAGAAACCCGCGAGAAGCGTGGCCCAGCTGGTCGGTTCCCGGAGTACACCGCACTAGTCGCTTTCCGCGAGCGCATATTGGTTGAGTGCGCCAAAACGGAGTTTGTCCAAGGAGGTTTCCGTTTTCCAAAACCAACACCCACCAAAGCCAACGTGGACAAGTTGAAATATTGTCGCTTCCACCGATGCCACGGTCACGTAACAGAGGATTGCATCGATGCAATCGAGATTCTGATCAAGGACGGGCATCTTAAAAGATACACCCGAGGAGGAGAACCCCCGAAGCAGGAGGCCCCCGAGGCTAAAAGAGTCGAGGACCTCCCTCCCCTGGAAGGCGAGTCCGGCCTACAGGTTGCCCTCAGCGTTAGCCAACTTGAGGACTGCTTCACCCTCAGGGAGTTCAGCCTTCCCGCCGAACTTGAGCTACCCAAGGAGCCAGTGCGCCCCACCAGCCGGTGGGAGTATTTCCCGAGGGCAATGGTCATCTCCGGAGGGAACCCGAGCAAGCTATTGGTGGGGTCAATTAAGCGGAAGTTCAACGAGCTTATCAGCAATAGCTCCGGCAAAATAAGCACGCTCGACAGATTTCGAGGTCGGTCAAACCCGATCACATTCTACCTCGAGGAGCTCCCCGGAGGGGCCCCCAACTCTAACATCCCCCACTGGTACGGGCGCAGATGGTGAACTTCGACGTTAGACGCATCCTGGTCGACTGAGGGAGCTCGGTGGACATCATGTACACCCACCTCTTCGTGACGCTTCAACTTGACGAATCCAACATGTCCCCCTATCTAGGCTTTGATCTCCTAGGCTTCAACGGGACAATGAAAATACCATGGGGGTACGTCAAGCTCAAGGTCACCTTCGGGGAAAAGGAAACGGCCATAAAAATCAACGTCCATTTTCTGGTCGTCGAGTGCCCATCTCTATATAACTGCATCCTGGGCAGAACGACGATGGCCGAACTCACCGCAGTACCATCAACCGTCCACCTGAAGATGAAATACTACACCAGGACGGGGCCCGTCGTCACCCTCAACAGCGACATCAAAGCTGCCCGTCGATGCTTTGAAACAACAATGAAAGGCCTAAGTACAATCGGGTCCACGACCAAAAAGGTTGCGCCCACCATCCCGAAGAGCGAGCCAAAGAACCACGCCGACTCCGTGGACCTCGACAGCCATTTTTCCGAAGAGCCAGACCGTGAGACCGAAGTCAGCGACATTCCACCGCTTTCCAACGGGCAGCCCATCCATCCAACACGCCCCATCCCATACGGAGACTTCGAGATCATCACCCTCGGGGAAGATGCAACCAAGACCGTGAAGATCGGGGCAGGGCTCCCCGACCTAGCGAGGAAACAGATGAAAGCCTGCCTCCGCAAAAATGCCGACCTCTTCGCCTGGAGCGCCGCAGAGATGCCCGAACTCGACCCCGAGGTCGCCTGCCACCAGCTCTCCATCAACCCGGCCGTTAGGGCCGTAGTGCAACGTAGACGTAGGCAGTCCCCCGAAAAGTTGGCGGCGGCTGAAAAGGCTGTAAAAGACCTCCTAGAGGAAAATTTCATTTCGAAAGCCCGGTATTCCACCTGGTTGTCCAACGTTGTACTCGTTAAGAAAAATAATGGAAAATGGAGAATGTGTGTTGACTACACGGATCTTAACCGGGCATGTCCCAAGGACGCCTACCCCTCCCCAACATCGACAAGCTCGTCGACAACTCGGCGGGCTTCAAACTCCTGTCCTTCGTGGATGCATATTCGGGGTACAACCAGATCCTGATGGTCGATACCGACAAACAAAGCACGACCTTCATGACGGAGTCAAGAAATTACTACTACAACATAATGCCCTTCGGCCTGAAAAACGTCGGCGCTACCTATCAACGGATGATGAACAAGGTTTTCCGAGGGGAGAATGGCGACGTGCTCAAATTCTACATGGACGACATGATCGTCAAGTCCTGCACAGAAGTCGACCACACGGCTCACCTCAAAAAGGTCTTTGAGACAGCGAGGAGGTGCAGGATGCGATTTAACCCGGAGAAATGCACCTTCGGGTGCGCGCGGGGAAATTCCTCGGCTTCTATCTAATCGAGTGCAGGATCGAAGCAAACCCAGACAAGTGCCGAGCCTTCTCCGAGATCGCGACGCCGAGATCGAAGAAATCCATACAGTCCCTCAATGGGGTGCTCGCATCGCTCACCCGCTTCATCGCCAAATCCGCGCAGCACGCCCTCCGTTTCTTCAAAATACTTAGAAAGGAAGCTGCGTTCGAATGGACAGAGGAATGCGAGCAATCCCTCCACCACCTTAAATGCGTCCTGTCAGAGCCACCCGTGCTAACAAGACCGGAGGCGGGGGAAACCTTGTACCTATACCTGGCCGTTGCCAACGAGGCCGTCAGCGCCGTACTAATCCGGGAAACCCCTGAGGGACAAAAACCAATCTA